ATAATCAGCAGAATATGAATGAAAAATTATCGATGATGACGAAAGACGGGATGGATTTTATCTCATTAGTACTTTTTATGCATTTTTTTCTTACGTTAAACTGTATACATAAGGAAATAAAAAATGTGATTTTAAAATTAAAAAGTTCTATTCCAAACTTGCAAGTTTCTTCGCTTCTCGTAACGGTGGCGGGTTGCGTCAGAAACATTTGTCAGGTGGTTTCTCGCGTTATAGCAAACCGGAAGAAAAGAAGGAAATTCCAAAGACTTTGTTCTTGAAAAAGATTTCTATGGCTAAATGAGAAAAGGTCAAAAGAACAAGAATGAAGAATTGCTGCTGATGATGAGAAGCACAGTGGGTTGGATTTTATCTCAGTAATACTTTAGGTCTAACTTTAGTTTTTTTATTTCAAACAGTATGTATAAAAAATCGATTAAAAAAATTATTTCAAATGTGCAGAAGTAGCACTATATAAAACTACAGAAAAATCTTCATTATAACAAAGATGGAATTTATAATAAAATATTGTTTGTGATGTAATAACTAATAATTTTATTAAACGGTTTTACCATTTGAGCTTTATATTAAATTGCACGTTTGTATTTGTTTTTTTATTTTCCACCATAACGAACAATGCCAGAAGTTTGGAGACACAGGCGTGCGCGGAATATTTTAAATATTGCGATAACATGACGTCAATTTAGATTGGCATTTTTTCTGTTGAAGTAGAATTAAGCAATATGGATTTAGCTGTTTGAGTGTAGTAATTAAAATCCTTGTGTAATAGCCAATATGTATACACATACATTTGTACACCGACATGACGCTAGATAGGTCAACGGGTCTCTGCGATTTCGTTACTCGTGTTGATTAATCTCCAGAAAAACGCGAAACTGAGTCTTCACACTCGTTCACGTTTATGTATATGTTGGACGTACACGTTGCGCGAAAGACCGGTTTGAGATTATTATAGAAGAACAGGTTGTAACTACTTGAACGAAACTTTGTGTATGTATACGAGAAACCGACACTATTGAGACTCTTACTACCACAGACACTCTGATTTTTTATTTCAGATATATTTAAATTTCTTTATTTCAGATTTATTTAAATATCTTGGGACACTATTAAAAGTGGTAACTTTCCAAGATCTATTTTTAGTTAGCTACTCTTTTAAAACTTGCATATTTTTAAAGAATAATTGTGTGAAGTTTTCGTTTTACTTTCGACAACTTTCCCATTTATTAGATTATTTCAAATCTAATTCTGGACAGTGTCTTAGAAACAAGTTATTGCATTTTAGATGCACTATTCACGTGCGATTGGGACGAATGATTTTGTAGGCTAATAAATTTACTTCTAATACTTCAAAAATGTTGATATCTGTAATCTGATATAAAGTCCGTGGAGGAAAGTCCGTCTGAGTGATTATATTCTTTTTGGCAACATTATTATTAGATGTGCAGGCAAAACGTGGGAGATGGTATCACGGATCGAAATCTATTCTTTCTCTCTTTTTTTCAGAATAGGACACAATTTAAAAATCACGCTAGAAAGTTCTTAGAAATCTGGTTTATTACATTTGAGAAAGCATGAATGAAAGATTAAGGAATAAAAAAATTCATTGAAAATTTAAATGGTATAACGTAAACGATAAATGAATTATAATACTGCATTTCTCGATTTATGTAATGTAATTTATGCGAATGGATCTTTATGAGAGATATCGGATAAACATGATAATATGTTAATTAAAAAATTCTTTTCCTCATTTAATTGGAAGAAACGATTGACTGTGTCAACTGGTTTATCAATCCGGATAGTGAAGTAGAAACCGGATAGTGAATGCGGCCAAGTTTAAAAGACAATAAATGAGATACCTATCTACTTTTAAACACATATCTTTAGAAATATTTTATTTGAAAGTATATCCGCCTGGAGTCATTAATTAGCAGCTTATTAATTACTTTCTTTCGTATTTTGAGTTTAATTTTATAATTAATTTGCAAAATAATAGGAGTTAATTATGAAATTCACTTTTATTTTATTTTAAATCTTTTAGTATTATATTTTGATTTTATGCATTTACTATGATATTGTAAATATTATAAATATTATAAAATATATTTTATTAGAACGAATTAATGAATATTTAGTGCTTAACAAATTATATCAGTAAGATATATCTTAAAAATATATGTGAGCTGCTTATTTAATAAAAAAATTACAATTGCAAAAAGCTGCAATAAATAATAAGTTAAAAATTATATATTTGTTTTAAGAAAATTTGCAAAGTCGTATTTATGCCATTTTTCAAAAACACAATAGTCTTATTGAAAATTTATATTAATATTAATTTATTGATGTTTATTTCAAAAATCTATCTTTTATGACGTTTTTCTTTCTCTCACTTTTAAGAGTTTTAAAGCAAAGCATTGTTGCCCTTATTCCCAAGCGTTGGTCAATATTTTTTTTTGCCCCGATGCCTTACGCAGCAAAAGCATTATGCCGTGGGAACCATGGCTGATCGTAGAATGGGTTTCAGGGCAAGCGGGAAAGTTTACTAGTTATGGTAATTCCGAAGGGTACACCTCGCGAAGCGAGAGGAGGAGATCGACTCGTTGTCTGACAAAATCCGGAACAAGATATTTCTTGTTAAACCGCCGGCGTTTAGAAAGTACACTTACTTTCTTTGTTCTCTCAGAAGATCGTAACTTTCGTCGATTTCCGAAGATGCTGATCGCCGCTGATCGATTTACTTTTTCACGCTTACAAAGTATCACGAAATAACTGTGAAATTGCAGCGGTGGTGACTTGGCTAGCGTAACACGCATACACAAAAGAAAAACGTAATCTTTTCGAGCAAAGGAGGTCGCAGAGAAAAAAATAGTTGCAATTATAATTTATCATAATTTAACTATAGTAGTATTTAACTGTAGTCATTTTCGATGCTAACTATATATTTGTTTTTAATAAAAATATAAATATAATTTAACTAAATTCGAGAGTGCCTTTCCGCGGTCAAGGCTGGATTTTAGATGCCTAACGAATTCTACATGAATTTTCTTAACTTCATGTACAGCCGTTATGTTAAACTGCGCGCCGATTAAATGTTCGAACTTGTATACTCTTGTCTAGCTGATTAAGATACCCGCCCCGGAAAGTCGGGAAGTCCCAGATTCAAATCCTGGCTAAGGTAATATTTTTCGCAATAAGTTCTTTTAGTATTTTAAGTATTTTAAGATGCTTATAAGCATCGATTGATTAGGAAGATCAATATAATATTTCTATTCCAGTCTCAGCCAATAATTGCGTTACAAGTCCGAACATTTAATCGACACGCAATTTAACGGCTGTACATGGAGTTAAAAAAATTCATATAGAATTCGTTAGACATCTAAGATCCAGCCTTGACCGCGGAAAGACGCTCTCAAATTTGGTTGTGTTATTCACATAGGCGGTCTTATTCAAATTATAATTATTATAAATATAATTATTATTACTATTGTAACTGTAATAATTATAAAATTGGAAATTCTAACCGTAATTATTTTACTATACAATTAAATATTAAACTTTTTTTTTTCAGTTAATGAATAAGCAAGAAGAGTATTAGTTGCAATCAAATTTTTCTAATTAATTTTCTTCAGGATTACAATTTCTACGGAGTTGTTTCTTCTATAGCGCATTTGATCAATTTAATGTTGTATGATATTGCTTCTTTCTTTAGTACTTCCGATTATCTTCGTTTCTAATATTCTTTTCTATATTTTCTAATATTTTTGCGTTTCTTCTTTTGCAGGTCGGCCTTGCAGACGTTGCACAAGGTGTCCGGTAAGGCACGCGAACAAAACTATTTTCTAGGTGGACTGTCGCATGACTGGGTCAGCTACTATGAACAACGAATCGAGAGCGATCGGTCGTGCCTCAATGAGTGGCATGCCATGGACAATCTGGAGTCCAAGAGACCGCCGTCGCCGGACAGCGTACGCACCAAGTGAGTCCGATTGCTTTCATCACGATCCTTTCGAGAGCGGCGTAAGAAGTACCAGCACACAAGTCTATTGTTATCCGAATGCAATCCGATAACACAGAGGCTTGACTTTTCTGCTCGAGCTGGCATAATACGGACTGCTTCCAGAAATCCAGCTTCCAGGAAAATACCCTCTCGCCGCGTGATCTCACGAACTTTTGATTTTGATGCTCCCGATACATATTACACGCCTCTCGAGCAAAATCGACTCGCGCGAGTATATAAGACGACCTAAGAAACAGCTGGCCATCGCGAATTTAGCTTGGTATCGTGCCAGGGTTAGGTTTGTTGATGCGCCTTCCCCGGTTGTCTGCGCCACGTTGAATCGCGCGCACAAGTGGAGCATAAACTTCATAGCCGTCCTTCAATTATTTCCAGTTTCTACGTCTGCCCTCCCTTTCAAACCGCGCTAAACATTTTGAAGTATTGGGTCATTTCGTACATTGGATTCCAGTATTACGAAATTCTGGAGTACACGTGGGAGACTGATGTATCTGAAAACTTCCGCTACGTTCTAATTCGATTAAATCGATCCTTTTGTTTACGAGGCCAGTTTTAGTATTTTGCACTGTAATGATGAAAATTCTTGATTCATTTATATAAGTATAGTAATTATAAATTGATTGAATAATGATTATAGTTAAAAATATATTTGTATTATTTTATATGAATAGGGAAATATTATATAATATAGCAATCGCAAGTGGTAATAGACAGCCATTTAAATGTAGACGCATCTAACTTATTTCGCCTGTTTGATTAATCTGTCGCAAGATATAAACATGGGTGTTTATGTAACAGGCCCAGGGAGAGAGAAGAGACCGAGCGCGTGATTCGATCGACGTTAAAGGAGATCATGATGTCCGTGGACCTTGATGAAGTTACTTCCAAATATATTAGAGGTCGACTTGAAGAGGATCTCGACATGGATCTCGGGGAATTCAAACCGTTCATCGATCAAGAGATGCTCACCATACTGGGGCAAATGGATGCGCCAACTGAGATATTCGATCACGTTTATCTCGGGAGCGAGTGGAACGCTAGCAATCTAGAGGAACTCCAGAAAAATGGGTGCGTTTGGCCTTAATACGAGATATTTCTTACGTATTCTCGTATTATATGAATTTTATCGCTCACCATTCTTAATTCTATCACGAGCTGATCATATTTTCAATAGTTTAATCATTCAATTTAGAAAGCAATATGATCGATTTAGAATCAAGTTTTTTTTATTAAACCCAAAGTTTTAAAAAATTTTTTAAAATAAATTTATATTCAATAAATGTATAATTTAACAAATGAGATCTTAAAATGCCAACACGATACAAAACGGATCTTGGTGCTTCCATATACTAGTGTGAATCTTACAATTTTAGATTCATATAACACCACGTGGCCGCAAATCGCGTGCATCTTCGTAGCTCCAAACCAAGTAGTATGTAATGATACTCAATTATTTATACGTCGCCTTGATAATACGTTCGCTTAAACGTATATATTGTTGCGCTCGTTGCAGAGCGGCACTTGCGCGCGAGTCGAAATCGGCACTTCCGAACGCGCGCGGGGGAAATAAATATAACACTCTTCAAAAAGGGAACGAAACCTTTATTGCTAATTAAATCGTCTTTAAATGTCGCAAGCGGTATTTTATAACGTTCACGTCAAAAGCCGCGAAGGAACGACACACATAACGTTGCCCCCGGCAACCGTCTTCTTCTCTCTTCGCTTCACGCGATACTTCGCGCGGTTGCTCGACTCAAGCCGCAATTAGAAGATACAGGGGCAGGGGCGCAACAATATATATTGAATTTACGCAGCTTGAAAATGCGCTAGATTGTTTATTGCGAATGTTATCACATGCCTCGGTGGTCTAAAGATAGAACGCCTTGTCCGGCAAACGTGGAGATCCGGGTTCGATTCCTGACTGACAATAAGAACATGAGGTGACATTTTTTCGCAATAAATTCTTTACAGATTCATATAGATACAAGTTAGCATTTATTTGATGTCGCGAAGATGGGGGAGGATTTCACAGGACTTGATGCTTTGAGCATCGATTTATTAGATTGCCGTTGGCAATTTAAGTGTGATATTACATACTACTTGGTTCAGAGCTACGGAGATGCACGCGATTTGCAGCCACGTGGTGTTATATGAACCTAAAATTGTAAGATTCACACTAATATTATATGGAAACACCAAGATCCGCTTTGTACTATGTTGGCATTTTAAGATCTCATTTGTTAAGTTAACTTTTCACGGTCTTTCCTGGTACTCAAAATGTATAATTATTTTAATAAACATTTTTAATGAGAAATATATTTAACGAGAAAAACTTTAAATTGTATATTATATTATAATGTTGAAAATTGTGTCTACAATGGAAAACTATTTTATTTAAATGTATTTAAATGTAGCTAATTTGATTCTAATCTGTATCTTTTATTTATATACTTTCAGTGTAAGACACATCCTGAATGTCACTCGGGAAATTGACAATTTTTTTCCGGGCATGTTTACGTATCTGAACGTACGTGTGTATGACGATGAGAAGACGGACTTGCTGAAGCACTGGGATAACACATTCAAGTATATTACTAAAGCCAAAATGGAGGGCTCTAAGGTGTTGGTGCATTGCAAGATGGGAGTGTCCCGTTCTGCTTCCGTGGTAATAGCTTACGCGATGAAGGCTTACAACTGGGATTTTTCCCAGGCGTGGAAACACGTCAAGGAGAAGCGCAACTGCATCAAGCCTAACAACAGTTTCCTCCTGCAACTGGAAACGTATCAGGGTATTTTGGACGCGATGAAGAACAAGGAGAAACTCCAGAGATCCAAGTCTGACACGAATTTGAAATCTCCTACGTCCGCAAAGGATCAATCAAAAAAGGAAGAGAAATCAGATAATATAGAGAATAATATACGGGAGGTTTCGGGGTCAGAGTTGAAGAAAACTAGCCAAAGACCAAAGAGTTGGTCGCCGAATGTTAAAGTCGCTGAGAATATGTTACCTTCCGGTAAGTAGCTTTACTATTTTGATATTCTTAATCAGTAGTGCTTCTTTAAATAAATTTTTTCAGGAACTGGAGTTAATTTTTTTGTCGAAAAACTGTGATGATCTATTTAAGGATCTTTGACAGGAGATATCGCTATGGCAGAAAGTATAAATATATAAAATTTTATTTTTTTTTTATTTAAATTTAAACGAATTTTAATAAAATTTATTTCTGATCAGTGTATTGAAAAATAAGAAATTTTGAGAAATAATTTATTTATATAATTGAGAAAATATGGCAATTAAAATTACAAACATATATACTTATATTTTTACTTTAATGAAAGCAGAAAGTTTTTATTGCTTGTTTTGTAATGTTTCAGTTCCTTTGTCGCAGTCGTTGGAAAGTATCGATAAAGCAGGAAATACGGAAGTGACTCGAGAGGATCTTCTTCGTGGCTCGAATCAAAAACCGGCAATAGAACAGGAAGCTCGCAACGTTCTAATGCCCTGCGACAACGGGCAATCTTATAGCGTGTCGCAGAACAAAATAATGCACTTACCCGCTCCAACTCCTGGCACACCTAGCGTAAAGAATAGGATTAGTAAGTTAGAAACTCAGGGACAGAAGAGGAAGGGCTTGGTACTCAATTTAACCAATCAATTTGAAGCTGCCAGCAGTAAACCGTCATCGCCGGGATCCGATACGGACGCAAGATCTCTGCCTCAGAGTTTGATTGCGGAGGATAACGCGAAGCCGATTGAGAACGGTCATTCGCATTGCGAGCAGTCGCAGGAAACGCGAGATACCACGGCTACCGTCTCGAGCGGGAAGGAAATTTGGGATCCCGGTGAGGAGCAGAGGGAGAGGAGAAAGGAGACGAGCCAGAAGTCCACCGAGATCAACGATAATAGTGACTGTCTAGTCTGGACTGCATCCACGGATGCAACGTGTGCTGATTTGTGTGATGACAATAAAACTGACAGAGGTGTGAGTGTGGAGAGTGAGTGTATCGCGAGTGTGACAGCGGATACGACGATTACGACGTTGATTACGACGACAACGGCGACGACGGCATCGTCATTGACGTGTCACGATGTTCTGGGAAAGAAAGCGAAAAAGGACGGCGATCCGTTCAGCGCCCAGTTAGATCGAGTGTTTGATCGCGAGGAAAGACGGGGTGAGCCCGTCACAAGGGAATCTCCGAGTCGGCAAAGTTCCTGGAGTAGTTATGATAGTGCGGTGGTTCTCGACAACAATTCGGTGCACAGCTCGTGGGCCACCTTACCATCGAGGAACAGTTCCTGGGGCTCTTACGACATGCGGCCGTCCGATCTGCTCGGTTCCAGCGGCCTGTTCCCGTACGACAAGGAGGAAATCCCGTGGCATCCGGGAACTGTAAAGCGTACGAAACAGAAACTGGAGGAGGGCACAACCGCAGGCGAGGTGAAGCGCGTGTGCACGCAGAGCTCGACAGCCGCGGATGACAAAAGCGACAGGCTGACTACTGAAGTGGACACGGCTGCGGTCGAGACGTACAATCCGATGTTGTTGCATCACATGCCATCGCCGACGCCGCGAAGGAGGGACTCCTCGTCGCCTACTCAAGAACATAATCTTAAAGTAGAAACAAATAGAAATTCGCCAAGTCCGGTAGGCAGCATCGACATCTCGCTTACGTCCATGCGCCAGATCGGAAGACTATCCACGAGCGCTCCCGCGCCGTCCTCCCTGTCCTCCGAGTCCGATCTACCTCTCTCTCTAAGATCCTGCAGATCGGAAAGCGAGACGTCTAGTCCGTGCGTCGTCAACACTACTCAGTGTCCTTCCGTAAAACATCACAAAATGGTTTTGGAAAATCTCTGCAACAAGTCCGTGTTCAGCAAACGCTGTCTCTCCGTGGATGACTCGCCGGAAGCGGAATGTCCGCGTAGCACGTCTGGTATTGTAAAAAATCTGAAGAAAGAATTCGAGGCGAAGTCCACCAAGCTGGAGAGGAGTCCCGAGAACGCGTGCGAAGGCGATAACGCGTCGCTGACCGCGCGATCCAAGAGGGACGTAAAGATCAGAAGTTTGCCCTCGTCGCCGGTGATACCGCACAACGAGTCCAAGATCCAGTCGTCGTCTAGCGTTGGCGAAACCAAAGACAACAAGCGTGGCAGGAGGAGCGAGACAACGCCACCGTCGTCGCAGGACAACCCGGAAGATCTCTCCGTCAGGGTATTGGTGGGGAAGTACGAGGTTGCCAGGCCGGAGTCCAGAAAGAGCTTGGACGTGCAGTTGCGCGCGCACAAAGATAAGGATTGGGACGCCATGGAGGTGCATCCGCCGGCGAAATCGAAGATCGCGCCCGAGTTTTCAAGAAGATCGGCCCCGATCATGATCAACAATCACTCCGCGCCTCTATTCAATGAGGTGCCGGAAGCTCCCGGCAGGCCGCCGGCGGTACCTTCGCCCAGCGTGGTCATGGCTAGCGTGGTGGCGAAAGCAGCTAGCAAGAAACAACAGCAGCACGGCAGAACCCATCCTCTCGCTAGGCTGCAGGTCAGGCCTAGGCACAGTAGTCCCGTTTACAACACCATGTAATGCGGAGGCGATGCTCCTTACTTTGTTTTCGCTCGCGGTTTCTCTTAAGCGCAACGCGAGCGCAGCGCATCTAATCTGGAGAGTACTCATGCGATCACGTGAGTACGTCGCCGTGACGATGAAATCGTGTGATCTCTTCATGTTGGCGATGAAGATTGGGTTTTCGGAGCCAAGATCGCGCCTGTTGTTCTAACTATTCTTCGTCATTCTTTCTTCTTTGTCGTTGCAATCGCTGCAATCGCTCTCGTACAACCGTGATTCTGTTCTTCTTTTCAGAGAAGAATGATTTTCTTTTCGATAATGTATCTTATTATTTATAAGCCGATAATCTCGCGTGAGCTTTCGGATCTTTTTACTGCGAAACAACGACAGGCGCTTTATGTTCCTTTTCCGTCAACGTGTATCTTGGCTTAACGTTAGTTCAATTATTTTAAGCTGGAAATGCAACAATTACGAGGCTGCGCGTCGAGAAGGGGGTCAACGTAATTTCAGGAAGGGATAATTGCGTCGCTATCCTACGTCACTTCGTAAGTTAGTGGGCTCGGAATCAAACATGCGTTAAGTGTGAAAAGTGATCGCGGATATTACGCGCGAGTGATTTAACGTGAAGCGCGGCGCGAAAGTTTTCGTCCGCAAGGCGAGAAAAAAAAGAACCGAGCGCTCAGTCACAGGCTGTGAATGTAAGGTCTGAGCCTCGGGCGCACGCTGACCTTTCTTCTGCTTCGCTTTCTTGATCTTTTCTTTGTTTTTTTTTTCTTTTCGTCGATACGACATTACCGCGTAAGACGATAAAAATCTCCGATCTTCGAAGCGACTTTGTCGATTTTGTCGTAACGTGTACGGAACGGAAAAAGTTGTATGACGAGACCTCGAGATAATGTAACATTAAGCCACACTATTAGTAATTTATAGGTGATAATGTGATGTAGAGTGATGTACAGTGTGCGAGAACACGATGTAGCGAAGTGTGTTTTCTGTTGAGCGACTGTTTTTCGGAAGTATGAGTGCGTACAGAAGGGGGTACCGAAATTCACGAGCTTCTAATCGTTTCCGAAACCCCGAAAGTGATCTTCTCCCTGATCTTGTGCGTCATACGGCCATATTTTGCATGAGCATGACAGTCCAATGCAAAATTAGTCAGTTGAAGATAGTAACGTCGTAACAAGTGAATTAGACTTCTCTTAAATTGTAGGATAAAAATAATTTAATATTATACGTATCTCTTACCCAGAAACGTGTGATAGATGCCGCAACAACAATTTCGATTTTAACGAATCAGATCTTGTTAGATTCTCATCGAGCTTGAGACCTGCCGCCTCCTATTTACGACATACGGTTATATGGATTGCATCTCTCTGCTATTTGCGATCCAGGAGAGCCTCGTAGCGTTGAAACGACCGTTGTTCTCGCGAATCTAGGTACCTCTCTTACTCATTTATTGTTATTAACTTGCTCTTTGTACTCCTACTACTATAGATTGTCTTTATCTCAATTAATTCAGATCGGTTGATCGTGTAACGCTTTTCAACGGCTGACGATGCAGCGATGATAGTGCATCAGGAAGTCCCGCCGTGAACTCGCGTAAGTCGAGACGGTATGACGAAATAGCGTGGAAGGATATGTTGATCCTCATGAGTGCATACGCGTACTTCTCCATTGATCGACCCTAGAGCACATTGTATCTAAGTGTCAATATTTTTTTAAACACATATCACCGACTCATCATTAATTTTGTAAATCGCGCGCGTTCCCATACGCGCGTCGCGGGATTTAGTTAGACAAAAAAAAAAGAAACGAAGGAAACCCGATTTAACCGCGCAAATTTATGACGACCAATTTTATACTCTGATGTACTCTGACGAATGCGACCGCTGCTAAAAGGCGCTTCGCAAGCGCGTCGCGATTATCGTGTATAAATATATTTTATTACAAACACGTTTCTCAAACCAAATTAGGCTCGTTGATCGTTTAGATTGTAGATGCGGGCGAAAGATGTCCTGGAATATAGTAGTTTCCCAAATAGTCTGTTGGATCGCACCTAGAGATTAACTATTATCTACTTATACAGATTAAGTACAATTGGATGCGATTTAGGAGGAGGAGGATCTGTTTTTTTTTTTCTCTGCGATGTCTCGCCGCCGGAGGTGACTCGTCCCCTCTTTTTAAGCGCAAGAGTTGCGAGGAGCGAAGTTTCAAAGTCTCGAAATGTTGCCCGACGTAATCGTCGAGTTTGGAGTATATACTTGAATGCACAAGATATCCACTGGATTCCCGTATGGAATTCCGATGTGGCTCGGTTACCCGATCACGCTAATCGCCGCAAAAGTATTACGAAACAGGACGTGTCGTCTACGGCGCGAGTACTGAGAAAAGAAAAAGAAAAGGAGAAAAAAAATGCGATGCGCTTTCTGCTCTCTCACCGTGTTTGTGTGCGCGAGCAATCTTTTCTTTTTCTACCACGTATCGCTTGTCAACCGATGGATTTGCTCGTGTCAAGTAAGTTTGTATTGTCACAAATCGATGTGCTCAGTTTTAGTGATTGTCCCACGATGTCCCCTAATGCCCCTGTTCCTTCAACCTGTTCGCTCCAAATCCGCCCCTCGCCTCTTAAGTCTTGCTTAAGTGTGTGCGTTCGCTCGATACGAGAACTTGCTGTCATATGAGAAATGATGATAAAACCGTACGTTGTTCTGTATAAATTTTGTACTATAGTTTGTATTAATAAAATACATTGTTTATTGCTTGAGTGCACGTGTCATTTCTTTCCAGAGAAGATATCCATTGGAATTCCGATGTGGCTCGGATACCCAATCACGTTAATTGCCGCAAAAGTATTACGAAACAGGACGTATTGTCTATGGTGCAAGTACTGAGAAAAGAAAAACAAATGCTAAATAAGTCGATTATTTTCTTTGTCTTCCGTAGAATAGCATTTATTATCATCTTTCTCCTTCCCTTCTTGTTTTTTATTTCGCCTCTAGCAGTATGTATGTACATACATTATAGCGACATCATGTTTTGATTTAATTTGTTATGAAGATAGAAAAATTAAAGCATATTAATCTAAAATTATTCGCATGTTCTATAGAATACGAAACAATATCACTTATATAAGAATTTTTTTCGAGAAACACTTTTTTACTATACATAGATATCCAAAGAATTGTCTTATCAAAATCTTATATCAATTAGATATTAACATATGTCATGCTAACAAATGTAAGTCAGCTACACTTTGAAAACCAGTTGTAAAATAATATATTTTTTCAAGTTTTAAAACATAAAATAATTACGTAAATTGCATATATATAAATCAGTCAACCAGGCTGGGCGTCTACTTCAAAAATCGTTGTTCCGGCACAAAATGCGAGCTTTGGGAGAATCCGTTTACTGTATTTCCTTTCTAACGGGCCGACATCCAAACTATACACACCACCCTTGAAATATTTGATCATAGCTATGGTCTACAAAAACAAAAAGTATATTATTGTTAGAAATGTTAGAATATATCTTGAAATAAGAACAATCAATTTCTTGTAACAAACGATTATCTCATAAAACAATTAGGTACGCGGACGAAATCTGCATTTAAATTAAATCTTTTGATAAATTCAATTGATTCAAAATTGATTTTCCTTTAATTTCATTAAAAATGTCTTTAACTCGAATAACCAATGTCTTCGAATTACAAATAATTATTATAATTATCATAAATCTTATAACGAAAATTTTTGCGAATTAAATTCCTAATAAAATCTGACATGACATTATTTTCTCAAAATGTAAATATTCTGTCATCTCGTATTATTTATGAACGATACTCGCCAAATATTGTTTGACACAATAAATTTTATAAATAGTACGTTGTAGAATCGACTGCATTAATGATGTCTAGCGATTAATAATCATTCACATATTATGACATACAATACGATTTTTTTTATTTTGTGCAAAACGCATTAATGTACCTGGCTGTATAATAAAATTCTGTCGGACTTACAGAACGAGATCGTAAATCGACGATTCTGAAAAGATCAGTGTCGCAGCCACCGCATGCAATGTACATATTTGTTATGTATTTTCCAACGTACAATAAAGAAGAGTAACTGTCTGGTTCCAAAGTGATGATCAATTTACCGCTACCGTAGTCCCACAATTGCAAAGGATTGTCCTTCTGCCAGGAACAAGTCAGGATCTGTTATTCAAAAGGAATTTGTAGTTAAAAGTCTTTACGAAAAATTTTTATATAAAAATATATACGTTCCTCAACCAAATGTGATGTCACAAAGTTATAAAACAATCACAGTTAATATGCAATTGCCATAATTCTTAAATTCGGAACAGATTTATTTCATTTATTAATTCTTCAGTGATTCACTGTAGACGTAAGATAAAGATCCGAAAGTACCTCTTTCCCATTTCTACTGATGTCTAGGCCGTCCCCGCACATATGTACACCCGATATAAATCGAAGGGAATGAGCTTGTCGAGTGTCCCAGAACTGGATGGTGTCGTCCCAGCCAGCGCTTATCAGCTCGTACGCGGATTTGGGATTGAAGCAGGCGCTAAAAACTCTGGATTTATGACCATCCATAACATCCAGCGCGTCACTGCGAGCATTACGAGATGTTTTTATAAAATTTTTATTACGGCAGTATCTCTTTCTAGAGATGGAGAAACTTTCACTAATCGGAGAATACTTTTTTCAGAATAATCACCTTCCGCAAAACACTCTCTCCCGCGTCTTCGTTTCTTCATCGTACAAATATAAATTTGTATCATCCCCGACAGTGACGAACTTCGGTAATTGAGGATGGTAAGCCAGACCGAGCGTTTGTCGTCTTTCCCGTATCGTGTAAAGGCATTGTGCGGTAGGATAATGCCAACATTTAATGCAGCCGTTGGCATCTATACAAATAATGTTAACGTAAAACTTTGTCGTTTTAACGAGAATGACAAAGAATTTAAAACTTTACAATTATAATTTTAATCTTTTAATTTTTCAACGATGTTATAGTTTACTATGTGCATTCAATATTAAGTTTTAGATTAACATTCTTTTTACACAACTATTCTGTGAGACTTGATAGGTTGATATTAAAAGCAAGAATAAAATAAAATTTAAAGGTGTCAATATTTTCTATTTGCTTTTAATAACGCGAACAAAATCTTTCTTTATTTTGCTTATTTATTTTTCGCAACATTATTAAAAAATCATCCATCATGTGCGTGCGTGTAAAATTCTATCTCAATATATCATATAGTTATGAATTATTAGATTAATACTTAAAAATTGTTTTTAGAATATTAATTGTTTCCAAATATATTAAATTGACAATATCTTTGGAGATCAACAAAATCTTTTCGAAAATAAATTTCGATAATCTCCAGAATAAAGATCTGTTATATAATAATTAAAGTAATAAGTGAAAGATGCGAAGTACTAACAAGTCGCTATCATAGTGCGAGTGATCGGGTGTGATCTACGCACTGGTCGATGCTTTACAGCGGTCACCGGAGCCGGATTCTGCATCATCTCCGCATCGCATAGAATCAGCGTGTTCTCCCCTGTGCTAACTTTGTATAACTTTAGGTTCCCGTCCGTCAGCCCTGCCGCCAAAAAGTCGTAAGTTTCCGTATAGCAGATGCAAAGCACATCTTGATTAACTTCCCTGCAAACTGTTTGCAACTTATTTCGAATGGAAATAGCTGTGTAACATAAACCTGTTCAAAATTAGATAAAAGATAGAATTTCGTTATAATCACTTAATCTTTATAGCTTAAATTACGAAAGATTATTCTTAATTTAAGAATCATCAGCTATAAGCCATTATTTACAATATTTATTGAGCGTCTCGACGTTTTCGCCATTTTTTTTCAAAAATTGAATTAATTAACAAATTCATATAAGAGAAACGGAAACAGACTTTGCGTTGATTAAAATTTCTTTATATCGAACAAAAATTCTTTATAAGAAGATCGTCAATTAAAATGTTATTTCTTAATCTAAAAAAAATTATTCTTTACAACTTTATTCGTATTTAAAATCGGATTACAAATGATTTTCTTCAAGAATTTTAATTTAGAAGAATTTAGAAATTTTTAAATTATGATATATCAATAAATAATATCTATAAATAAATTAAATAAATAAATACTGCTTACATTTGATTAACAACATTGATATTGCCGATTAATTGATAACGATGCTCGATATCGGAGACAGCTGGCATTGATGCTGATGAAGGAAGGTATTCCTCATGGGTGACGATTGATGCCGAAGTTGTAGGTGTCACATCGAAATCAATTTCGCTGGTATCGTTTTGAATGGATGAATTAATGGTAATACGGGAGAATTGTTCATTATTCTTGTCATTATCCATCTAATAGTAAAGAATCAATTGTTAATATAGCTTTATAATATAAGTAATATAAGTATAGCTTTTTTATATAAGTAATTACTTATATTAAAAAGTTATACTTTTCAAAATATTACAAAGTTATAATGCATTAATAAATTAAGCAGATAAAAAATAAAGTAAGACAGATAAGAAATTTATGTTAAAAATATATAAACATATTTATTAATATTTTAAGTTTAACTATTTCAAGATAAATTTTTTTCAAAGATTATGTAACAACATTGCTTTTTAAGCTACATCAAAGATTCCTGTTCTATTGTTTATTGTAACAGAGAATCCATATTGTTAATCTTTCTAATAAAGTTACAGCGTATAAACTAAAACAGAAATGAAGAAAATGAAATAAGAAAGACATAGATTTTTTTCTAGAATTAATTTTACATTATATGTTTTATATTATATGAATTACATTATTTTGGAATAAATTTAGAATAAAACGAAATTATGTTATTTCTATGATAATAAATCAGAAATATAGAATGGAATAGAATAAAATATAAACATACATACATATATAAGTATTAACAAATATTGCAAAATATTAACCTTATTGTATATTATGTATGAAAAGTTTCCACTTAATATCAACGCAGAGTGCAGATGTTACAAACTACACGTATGTGTTGCTTGTACAAATATAACTTTATAAAGTGTTATATTTATAATGTTTAACTTAGAAATTTGTTGATATTCAAGCCGAAAGTTGCTGTGGCTTATCAGGAAACTGGAATTTGGATTATGATTTTTGAAATGTTAAAAACTCAAAACGACGATCGCGGTATATGCGATATCAGAGAAGATAGACGATCGTCTATCTATACTCGCGTCTATCTTCTTTGGCGATATAACCTGCAGTATTCGTATTTTTAAATTATTCTATTATTGTAATTTATGTCAAATTGTATTGTCTTATCTGGCCTTATCGTAACATAAAAATATTTAATCAAAATCAGTGTATTGTTGTTAAAAAATGAATGAAACTGCAGTAAACGATTATCTTAATACAATTTTAAAAAAACTCCAATTAATTTAATCGATGAACTTGAAGTAATATCTGCATTTTGTTAACATAAATAGAATTATTAATTTTTTTTAATACTTTAATTAAATTATAGAAAGAAAGATTAAATTACAGACAAATTCTATAATTAGAAATTTTACAGTAAGTCATTTTAGCCTATTCCTACCAATATAGATTTAATCGACGATTAATTCAATCATACAAGCTAATTATAATAAGCTAATCGTATTTGTCGTCATTTTGACGTAAAAATGACACGTTTGGCGATATTTTGACGCTAAAATGATGATAAATATATGTTAGTTTACAATTTGGACGATTGGAGTTGATTAAAGTAGCCTGCAGGCGAGAAATCCTTGTCCAAGTTTAGTCTGTTAGAAATCAGTCTTTCGCGGACACAAAAATAAAAAAGACATTACACTAATATCACATTAATAGTTTATTTATTTCACTTTTTTTTATCGTATTCATAGTTTACTTTAACTTAAAAAATATTGACAAAAAAGCTATTATTATAATATTCTTTCTTTTTCTCTTTCCCTCTTCAATTTAAAAATGATTATAAAAAATAATAATAAATATAATAAATAACGATAACACATAAATTATAAATATATGTATTGTTAAATAAAAATTTGATGCTACTTACACAACTATTTTAAAAGTTTATAATTTAAGCGAGTATCATTTTTATATAAGAAATATTAATACATTTCCAATTTCGAACTTATTGCTGGAACTAAACATTTTGCAGGGTAAAACATTCTTAAATACTTAAAACATTTTATTTTCGAATTTATTTTTTATATATAATACACATATACATATATTATAAAACAAATTTAAAAATAATAAATAACACAAAACTACTTCAATAATCAATAAATTGCATTAAACAAATTAGTTATGTCGATATATGTATACCTGTATACTAGTATTATAATTTTTTTATACTTTAGAATTTTAATGCTTCTAAAATATATCACTCAAATTTATAGTTTACTTTAATCCATTAACGTCCAAGCGGACACATTTCTTGAACAATTTTCAGTGACTTAATTTTATATTTTAATGGCCTTGAAAAATTCAAGCAACATCTGATGTAAAATTTCTTGCGCTTTGTCCAAAATAAAGTCCAAAAAAGTTATAGTCGATTTTTTGAAAAAAAACCGTGATTTTTCACTCAAATTTTTTTTTAATTGATATTTCCACATCGAAACGACATTAGGATGGTCTTGAGTAGTCAAAATATCGCGTCCACGAACACTAAACTTTAAAACGTATACATACTCATTTCGAAATTCATGATGGCGGCATCGAAAATGGCGGCCGAAAGCTCGAAATGTTACGATATTGTGCAATTCACTAAAAAAAATGCTGTAATCATCATAACTGATGTGTTTTTATCAATATCGTGATATTATATGATCAAAATAATAATAAAATTATTGCAACAATATGGCGGACACAAAATGGCCAATCATAACGTGCTAAAAAACACCAGGAGATGGATACATAAAAGCGTTATATTTTTTTATTGTTTTATATCAATGTCAAAGTTTTTTATTTTTTATTAAAAATTTTTTTGTTAATTTTTTAATCAATTTAAAATTTTTTATTTTTTATTTTTTAGTTTTTATTATTATTTGATTGCTTTTTTATCAATTTTAGAATTTTTTTTCAAATAAAATAATTCTATTTATCACTTATGGAAAGCATAAAAACAGGTGGAGCATTGATAGATATGTAAGAATGTGAAATAAAATTTTGAACTTTCCGCTTAAAAAGGTAATAAAGTTTATTCGAATGAGACTCTATTCTTCTTTAGTTTTATGTACTTTGTCAAGATGTCCGATCGCGGGAAGACGTGCACGTCGTATGCTTTCGCGCGAGGATAATACAGGAAGGTTTAGGCAAGAAACTTCACTCCGGGTTACTTGAACGATTACTTTGCTTTATTGAGACGGATTAGCTTAGCGGACGCGGCGTAACTGTGAGAACGAGCACCGGCGCGAAA